TGATTTATCTAGGAAACTATAGTGGTTATCTGAGTAATGTTTATAGGCACCTAGGTAAAGGCTGTTTTTGTTGGCTTCAGTAGCACAACTGCTCTTTCCTAAGGGACATTTGGGAATTAAAATGTCACTATCAACAATTTTGCACTGCAAAATTGAGAGAATTACTGCAAAAAGTACTGCCCAATAGCCTCTGATTCTTTAGAAACCTGTTTCTCACTCTCCTTCCAACTCCAGCCTCGTGAGTGCTCCCTTTTGGCAGCTGAGGCCGGCACAGCTCTCGGCAACACAGCTTGTTGTTAGTGCAGAGGTTACTCCTTTTTTCTTTGACAGGATACCCTTGAACTGCATGCCAGAGAAGGGGGATTTAAAAGCATCCTTTTTCCTCTGTGCAGTTTTCACACCTGCTTTCCTGGAAGACTGAAGTTTGGCCTTTGGGGCTGGAATGGAAGGGACCCGATGGGCACCAGAGATCTCCGTCTGTGTCGCGGTCCTCAGCTACCACCCAGAGCCCCGCAAGAAGGTAAGCTGGGGTCAGGTAACCACACATCAAGGTCATTTCCACTCAATCACATGTTTATACTGAATAAGGGGGACACAGTTCTTTCCCTGAAGCTTGTATTTAAGTAGCTGGCGTTATATGATGCCTTTGGTGAGTATGAAAATAAACCAGATCAAAGGGGGTGGGGGGTTGTGGGTTTTTTCTGGCAGTACATGCTTGAACTTTGCAATATAGGTCAAACCAGTTCCACATCAGTAGCTAAGGGGGGAAAAAAATGCCCTTCATTATGTTAACAAAAACAGGGGTTTACATGTGCATATATGCCAAATTCATTAGGCAGGTAATGAAGCATTTGCACAAATGTAATTACAAACAGCAATTCTGACAGTTCATAACACTGCATTAATAATCACTACAATTAGTTCTGATGATGGAAGCAATTTACAGCACGTCACATGTATAAATAATGGTGCATTTCCTGAATGTGTCATTATTATGTATTAAGGATGCCACCTTGTTGTGACTTTCTCAGTAATGTTCCCCTTGAGTCAAAGTTAAGGATACGAGAGCGATTTTTTTCTGAGCTACAGCATATTTCATACTTGCATAGTTTAAATACTGAGTTGAGGTCATTTGTGTAAGTTCTGTATGTGAAAATGTGAAATGCCTAAATAACAGGCAGTAATTATTTGTTACTGAATGATATAGGATATTATTGAATAGATCCTCCCATTTTAGTAATTTAAATAAATTTCAGAGATATTTATAAAGAGAAAAAAAAAAAAGAAGTGTCACCTCTTGATGATATAGTTTATTCCATATCTCCCAGCTTCTATTTACTCTGAGACATTCATTTTCTTTTTGTCTTCATACCCCTACTAACCTTTATTTAGTTAGTAGGACATCAAGCTGTTTTTCCTTTTTGTGGTACTTGGTGTCATAGTGAAATAATTGCTGAATTTTATTATGATGATTTAATAGTGCTTCCCATTTAGAAAACAAGTCTATGAAATCAGCTTATTCCAACCCTTAGTTTTCTTTGCTAATAAATCTTGCCACTTTAAGTTGTTCTTTTCAAACCACAATTCATAAGCTGGAAAATTCATTTTGCTAATTAATGAGAGGGAGGATTCTGATGGCAGGGAATACTAGAAAGGACTGTAAGGGCAAGAATTATTTCTTTTCTCCTCTTGGTAATATTGGTTATTGGCCTTTGTCATGGTACTGTTTAGTGATTCATTACCCTGTGGCTTCATAAGGATTTTTTTAACGTAGATATTGGAGAAAGAAATAAGACAATAGGTTTTTCTAATGTGAGTTCCTATGTATATATGCATGTCTATGACCTTACGCATACACACACACACACATATATATATATATAAAATCATATGTATATAATCTCCCCATTTATTGTCCTTTGGGAATAACTTCCTGAAGACAATTAAGCATTGACCAGAAAGCATAAACTGGGCAACTTGAGCTAGCCCATCAGTAGTGGAAATTGCCATAACTCTGTTTTAACTTCCACCAGTTTATAGCATTTTCCCAAGAATATTTAATGCTGTATGTCAGTTTTTCCTGCTGCTAAGACAAACTCCAGCACACCAACCTGCAATAGTTAAGGTCCCTTTATGTCAAGTACAGGGTGCCTGATCCTGCCTCATTGTCCTACTCTTGCCCTTCACCTTCTGATCCCCATACATGTTTTCAAGGAGTTGTCACTGGATGTTCTTGTGGGGGGAAGTAAATTCTGTCCTCCCCATTATCCTCCCACCCAGCAACGGCTCTGTGGGTTTTTTGGGTACAACAGAACAGTTTTGTATAGAGTACAATGGCAATTATGTGAACCTGACAGCCCAAAATATTTCTAATGCAAACTCCGCAGTTTTCTCACACTCGCAAAAATGTCCCTTTTATATCACAAGCTTTGATTATCCCAGTATAATCAATGTCCCAGAAGTGTGCAGCTGAACGAGCTTGTACTGCATCGGAATATTGATATACTCTTGCAAAAGACAAAGGGAAAAGCAATTTCTTGAGATAAATATATATGAAATTAGAAAAGCGTGAGTTTTTGTTGCTGACAAGGAGAAAAGCAGGTTTATTCTGACTGCAAGAACATTTTTTGTTCTAAATATCCAAGTTTCTGGTATTTTTCACAGGGATTCTCTGTTCAGCCTTCTCATCACAAGCATGCAGCACTGCATATTGTATTCCAGTGGCTTTTTTTAAAACTATTTTTTCATTTTCTTTGAACCAGCTTAAAGTGAAGATGGATTAGCATTTCACATAATCAAATTGTTGCATACAAGTTTATGTAGCAAGCAGGCTGGAATAGCTACAGCTATTTTACTTGTTCTGTTCTGTCACATCATGCAATATTTAAAGCCTATAATTAAGTTTTTACTTGAACTGTTGGGAGGCAAATACTGCCCCCAAGGGCGTAAAGGTTCCTGTCTGCAAAGGTTTCATCACAAACTGGCATATTTTGCAAACCAAAGGGGAGCAAAAAGAAGCTTCAAATGCTGTGAAACCAAATAAAAGAGAAAGACAGTGGTTCCTTGAATAAAATGTTTTACCACCTTTATCCACATGCCTTCTCTGTGGCATTATGACTAGAATTCTACAATAAACTTAATGCTTATATGGTGTGGCAGTAATGGGATTAATATGAATTCAATTTTTACCAAAGTTCTTGAATACTTCCCAAATTCAAATAATGTAGAATTTCAGTAACTGAATGTTCCCTAGTGAGGAGATATAAAAGACTGCAATCAGATACAAGTTTTTTATTTCTCCTCCAAGAAAGGCACAGTAGGTTACTTTCCTGTTAGTCATGAGGATTATGTTTTTAAAGATCTGCAGGAGAAAATACAGGCACTTGTTCACGAAGTTATGTTCTCTCATATCATGTGGTGTTTTGAAAATGTGGTTTTCTCTAAAGATTTTTATAAGGGCTAAGGTAGAAAACATAAAGCAAGGATAATACATTTTACACTGTTACTGAATTTTAGTCACAAAGTTTCTATTTTTGCTCAGATACCTCTCACTGGAATTGAAATAAAGGACATCTGGTTTTAATATTATTTGCTGAGCAAACCAAACCCAGCAATGCAAATGTGCAGCCATGAAGCTTTCTGAAAGGAAGTAGTTGGATTTCTTTTATATCTCCTAACAGTGTTTGTTCTGAGCAGCTTTGGTTTGTCCTTTAAGCGGCTGACTTCTTTTATTCAGCGATGCGTTCTGTTCCTCAGGTGGGCTCCACAGGGAGACTTGCATAACCTCCTCGGGGAGATCATGTCAGGTGGCCACATCATGGGGACTGCAGGCTCTGCTGGACCTGTCTGCAAGAATTCCTCAGCCCAGTCCTGCTGAGAACTTTCACACGTGCCTAAAGCTCTTGAACAGGTACAGAGTGTGTTTAACCTAAGGGAAAGAGAAGACCACACGCTTTCTCATCCAGGCAGCCCCACCTGTGGCAAGGTCTGCTTGTGGGGGGAATAAATTTGTTGATGATTTATCATGAGCAGATTTTGGCTGAGAGGGTTTGTGAGTTGGCATACTGCTTGTCTACTTTTTCAAGTACCATTAATTGGTAACTTGAATTCAGGACTTCATAACACTGCCTGTATAGTGAGCTTAATGACATTGGATACACCCAGGTTTCCATTTTACTAGGAAAACTATTTTAAGGTGCTTCCATCTAGAAAGTTTTGGGTGGGCATGGGAACGTATCTCTTATGGAACAGCACTTTAACCAAAGTAACTGAAAGACTCACCAGTCAGACCAGTTTCAGCAGTCCAGAATGGCACTATCCTCAGAACTTACTCTTCACACATTTTCTTCCACAAAAAAAAAATAATGGGAAGTTTATACATTTCCTTGTGTCTCACTCCTAAAATAAGAAAAGTACCTTGTAAGACCGTTTTTCATTTTCCACCACCCTCTCACACATCTGTTTCTGTAGCTTTGTCAGGTTATCACCAGCTGACATATACTGAATTATTCAAATTTCATTAGTGAGTTTTCATTCTGGACAGCAGTGTATGTGGAGCATCCATGACTCCAAAGGGCCAGCCTGCCAAAGTTGCTTCTAATCAGCAGCAAATGCTAAAATTTTTGAGGCTACAAAAAGAAAATGTTGCTTTAACTTTACTTCTCAGAAGTTTTTCATGGAAACAGCTTTAATCTATTTCCATATACACAGCTATAAAAAATGTGGATGTTTATACGGGGGGGTGTGCATATATGTACACACGTATATAATATAGATATATAATATATGTATTATATATATATATATGGATATATGTATTTCATATATATATATAAACATTATAAAAAACCCCTGTCTGCTTCTTCTTTAATGCTGAAGAAGCCACTTTAGAGAACAGATTGTACACTATTTGCTAAAAAACAGCCAGGAGATTTTTCAAGCACCGTTTCCAGGCATTATTTTTCATCATCCAAAGGAAAAAAGCTCATTTATGAGGAAATTAAAAATAAAAATGATCATGTTACGTGTGAGCAGGCCATTTGTGGAGCTGGGCTAAGCTGGGAGAAGTGCCCCTTTCACCCCTGGCAGTGGGTTGAAGCCTCTGTTTTGGCTGAGAGCGAGAGGAACGGGCTGGTGTCTCCTTGGTCCCGAAGAAGTGGGATTTCATATGTCAAAGAGCCACACTGAGATGAAGGCAATTGGAAGTAACTGCTCAGAAGAAGATGCCCAAGAGTAAGTTGCCATGGAGATGGAAAGGCTAAACACCACTGTACTCCTGACCTCGAAAGAGGCTGATTTCTCCACATGACAGCTGAGGTCGTGGGGGCATGGTGGGAAGCTCATCCTGCCGGCTCCAGCTCTGCCTCTAGCCTATGGATAAGTAAAGAATTACTGCTTTACTACTTTAGGTAGTCCATTAACCTTCACAAGCCTGAACTTTCATTCAAATAATTGCAAAATAAGTATAGGTGGTGAAACCTGAACAGAATCACTGCTATTTGTATGCCCTTTGGAAAGTTTAGGGACCCAACCCTTAGTGTGGATCCACTGGTATTTTAAACAGTGAGGTATCTTTCTTAGCTTCTTGCTGTAATTGGAAAAAGTTAAAGCCCAGAATTACCAGCAAAACCCAAAAACCATTCAGTGACTGGCCACCAAATGAATGTAAACAAAATGGTCCTTCATCAGCAGTGGGGCTTTGTATTCAGCGGGGAGATTACCTTCTGTTTGTAACTTATTACCTTATGGTGAGTTCTTTTAGCTACAAATCCATTCCACAGGGTCCATTAGAATAACCCACCATGCATCATGACAGACCTCACCCGGGAACAGCCGTAAAGACAGAAGGGCGGCAGGATCCTGCTACACACCCCAGTAACCCACAGCCTCCCTCTGTGCACACAACTCCCACGGATGCAGTAAAACCTGATTTAAGTGCCAGCAGAGAGACTGGTAAGTACAGATTGTCTGACAGAATTGATCTTCCACTTGAGGTAAATAACAGGGCTTTTTTCAAAACCTCACCACTACTTCAAAGTGGCGTCTTAGGATACAGCTTATTGTGGGTGAGGTTAGTGGTGCAAGTTCAGGCACAGGTAAATGGCTGGTTGCAGAACCAAAATGACTTCAGAAATAAGTGCTTACCGGTGTTATTTTGAGCAGTAGCTTGTTGTGGACTGTTCTAAATGCCAGAAGCTCTTAAATGTTATTGTGGTTTTGTGGAGTGGACTCTGCATTAGGAAGAAATAGCTTTTGTGAAAAGTACCACTTAGAGCTAGAAATATTTTTTAACAAAACCAACTTCAAGCATCGTTTAAATTGCAGACAGCTCTATGACAATAAGTTCAGAGAAATTCTTTGAATTCAGTGAAGTTCTTACAGTACAGGAGATGGGGAAGTCTGAAAAATAAATGTGATGGCTACTGCTTTCATTCTTATTTATTCCTTTTTATTTTATTTAGGAGGTTAGCCACTGAGAGTACATCTCACCAGTCGTGTCTACATAAATCTTGATCTGTTCCAAAGTCCCAAGTCTTATCTTAAATATCCCGACAGATTTAGGGTCTTTCTGCTCTATAGGAACAGTGCAGTTAATAGTACTTGGCTCAATACTGAGCTGATTGAGACCTTAATTTTTTCTCCTGTTAAAATCACCACCACTGTCTATCTCAATGAGGCCAAAGCAGCGGTCCAAAACCCTGTGCAAGACTCCTACACTTCTAGAGATGCAGTGGAGTGGCAAAATGGCATAAGAATCCTTGCTTGGCTGCTGAGGTGATGCAGACTTCCAGTACTTAAAATACACTTGCCTCAGTAATGACAGTCCTTAAAATAAATTCAAAGCATCCTCATAAAGTATGAAGCAACCCCGCAGAAAATGGAAGTATCCAGAAATTATGCAAATAGTAACTGTGCTGGGAATACTTTGCTAACCCTCTTCCATTGTAGCAGAACATGCAGGTGTCATGTACACAGACTTCAAATAAATTTCTGAAACTTTGTAGATATAGAAGAATGTTTCCTGGTGTCAGCATTACCGATAACATTATTGATTCTTTTCTTACAGCTTGAAGGGGAGCTTGGCACCATGTTTCTTGGCCCCACCAAATCTGGATTATGATGGATACCATAAATACATAAAGGAAATGTTTCCATGTGAAAGCCCTGTACTATATGGACTGCACCCCAATGCTGAGATGGGATTCTTGACAACATCAGATAATCTCTTCAAAATTCCTTTGGAAAACAACCCATGGGAGAGGGATCAGGCCAATCTGCAGTTAAAGAGGTGAAGTTCTTCATCCAGTGTGTTGTCAGTTGTTGCTATCCAGCTCCCCGATGGGACCCCTCTGTCCCACCCCCCGTGGTGCGAGCCTGCTCGTCTCTGGGCACAGGCGGCGGAGGGGGTCCTGGAGTGGATACAACACAGACTCAAAGTATCCAGACACAGGAGGCTCAAACTTGCTGGAATAATCCCGGGTTTATTGTCTGTCGTCCATCCGGGGCAAGAGAGAGAGCGAAATGCTCTGGATCTTATCTCTTATACCAGGGGGCAGGGGTGATCAGGGGATACAGGGAGGTCACAGCCAATGGGAAGGGGGGGAAGGGAAAGAAGGTTTTCAGGTAGGATCTAACATTACACAAACCAGAGGTGAGTTTTACCCTTGGGAGGTACCAAGATTTCTAGATGCACTACAACAGTCAGTGCTGTTAATGACAGGTGGAATACACATCTTAATGTGTTATTTCAGCAATAGACATTCTGGGGAATAGAATTTCTGGGGAGAAGAAAAATGCATCAAATTAGAAAAGATCAGATGAGTGTTAATGGGTATGATAATGCACCAGCCTTGTCAAGGGGTAAATGCACTAGGAAGATATTTGGACCAATTTATTTTTCACATTGAATTTATTGTGGGGTGGGAAACAAGCTATGGATCTCCTACTTTTTTATTATTTTTTTTTTTGGTACATTTTCATAAACAAGTACAGACTTACTGGGGAAAACATGTGGTTGGTTGAATCAGTGGGTCTAGTCTTGACCTCTGTCTTTTGTTTCCATCTCCTGCATGATGAAACTCCTTAGGGTATCTTTCCTACACCTCCCCACTTGTGCCAGTCATAGGAAGTCCCTCCTAGCCTGCAGTCCTGACTTTTTCTGCTGCGTTCTCAGCACAGCCTAGCAGAGGTGTGCAGGCTTTACATGTCAGGAAGAGCAGGCCAGACACAGGCTCTGTCACTGCTTCCCTTGCTGGGCACTTGATCTGAGCAGGAGCCTTGTAGCTGCTCCAAGACTTCCCTTGCAAGTAGTAGAGGAAGAGGAGGTTTAGCTTTTGGGTAGTCTGACAAGGTGTATCCTGGCCAAGGAGGGTGTCTGACCATCTCAGCCTCAGCTCCTCACCAGGAGTCTAGCAGAACAACAACATTAATACTGATAAACAATCAGATGCTGGGTTAAAAGGACCAATCCTAATACCATGATAAACTTTGTCACTTAATATGGAGTTGACTGGGACATTGTAGTTCTGTTCATAGCCAAGATATGTTAGACACACAGACACATTAGTATAGCCAAACTCATTCCAGAAAAATTTTAAAGGATGGGTTTTAAGAATGGAACATCACTGGTGCTGTGCTTAAGAGATTAAATGAATAAAGGAGAAGGGAAGGAAAATGTAATCACAAATCTCAGCTAGTTCTGTTTTCAGATCTTGCCACTTTCTGCATCTTCCTTTCTGAGTGCAGACCTGAGAAACTATGTCCAGATGCCCCAAAGCCTGGCAGATGATGAGACTGAGCCTTCAGCTCCTTATCCTTACCAGGGTTAATTAAAGTCCCCTGTGACTGCCATGCTGGTTCCTTCCTTTACTCCCTCCTTTTCCTCCAAGCACCCTTTTTTTCTTTTCCTCTTATCACTATCAGATCATGGAGGTTTTGCAGGAGGAAATGTGACAGCTCTGCATGCAAGTAGCCAAACACTGCTTCATCTCCTGGGGGGAGCTTGTGCTTTTCACACTCAGTTCCCATCCAGTTTAGGGAGTCTGGACTATAACATATGGCATTCATCATTAAGTCTGCCAAAGCTAGGGCTGAAACAGAGGCTGAGCTGCATTAATGCTGTGATTTCAATTCCTGCTCATTAGTACTGTTATGAATTGTTCTTCATTTATGTTCTGTCTCAGTTCCAGAGCAGGCCTGCAGGGAGAGGGGCTCTTTTTGGGGGTAAGGCATATGTGTGCCTGTGTCTGTGCTGTATTACCTAATGCCTGAGACAGCAAGGACTGTGGGTGGTGGAGGGGGTGATGGAAGCTATTAGGTACTAGGGAAATACAAACTAGTGATCACACTTGACTGAAAATCAAGAAAACTCCAGGGTGTATCCTAGAAACAGCAGTCATTCCAAGTCCAGGGACAATGTATTAGTAGACTTCAAGGGTCAATGCTACCTGAAAATGCAAAGCTAAATAGAAGCTGCTAAGTGTTAATTGGTTTGCTGTCATTCCTCTCAATACTGTAGCCAAGAAGACAGCAAAGGTGATAGAGGGAGCATAGCTGGTTTTTATCTAAGAAAATGAGATATTTGTGCTCTTCTGAAGAAATCAGACTTCAAAGTAGATGAGTCAGAAAGAGTTGATTGCTGGGATTTCTATTGGCTCTGTTTTATTGTCCTGGCCAGGTTAAGAATGTCCCAGATGATAGTCTGGGTATGCTTCCTGAGAAGCTTAACATTGCAGAAGTCATTCAGGGAAGACCATTGCCTGGAGACCCTATGCTCTTGTTTGCCTCAAACAGTAAGGTGATGAACCTTTTCCTTTCAGAGATCCGTAGGTCTTTTAAACAGCTGGACCTTGGTCTCAAGGCAAATTACTTATTTCAGGGCTTTTTATTTTTCTCCAAAGGGGGAGCTGATCTTTTCTGCTCACGTGGAAGTGCTGCAATACACACTCTTCTGTGATGTTGTGCCAGACACATGGACTAAACCAGCATATCCATCCACACACAGCTTTATCCACTGGTAAGTGCCCCACAGTGACAATGTGCAGAGCTATTCCAGTGATTTATGTCCATCAGCCTGGTTCCATTCATGTTTCTTCCAAATATTGTCCTTATGAAAGTCAGTTTTCCTTTGAAGCAGGTTTTGTAGCAACACCAAGCACTTTGCTAAAGCGAAGGCTCCATCACCTCCTTTTGTTCCAAGTACTGGACGTGTTCAGCATCTTGTGGGATTCCTTTCCCTTAGCCTGCCACCGGCAGTGGTTAGACATGAATGAAACAGGCATTGTTTTTGGAAATTCTTCTGATACCTCATGGCAATGCATGCTGCATTATGCCATTATTCAGAGCCTCTGTCAGAATCTCTTATGTTCCTGATTTGCACTTTGCTCTGGCTTATTTAAAGTTTAAAAATGAAGTTTAAATACCAATGAAGATGATAGCAGACAATTTGTATTTAAGAAGCCATCTAGCTGTTAGCAAATTCTGGCAGTTTCTCATGGTGATGTTCAGGTTTCTCCCCTAGACAGCAGATTCAACAGCACTGTGCATACTCACATTCTCTGCTGCCAGCAACCATCCCATGCTGATCACCTTCTGCAACTGATTTCAGACATACTTACACGAGGGAAACAACAAATTCCACTGAAACAATTGCCTTATACTTACATAAGCTTATACTTTCTGGTGACTTCAACAATGTACTTTCTCTATAGACAAAAGGACTCTTTACATTTGAAATCTGTAGTTTATTTTGTCTACAAAAGCAGTTCACATGCAGTTAAGGCAGGAGCTATTGATGCTTCTCTTTTAGGGTTACTGATTTTCTCATGAGGTACCAAGAACTTGACATCTGGACACAGGACCTTGTGCTGCTAGCAGTGATGAGGCTTTCTGGCTTGTTCCATCCTCACTGCTTTCTGACAGATCAGCAGTGATGGGTGTAGGGCACCAAGCATCTGATTTCAGCGCCAGACATTTTTCTTTAACTTACTGATGGTTAGCTATGTTTGTGATGCTGTTTGGAGAGTTAATCACAGATTAAATAAAAAGATAAAAATCACCTTAACACTAGAATAATCCTTTGCTGAAAACAGGGGGAACAATCCAAACTTGTCTTCAGGCTACTCGGAAGTGTGAAGACAAAGCAGCTAAGGAAATAAAAGCTTGAATTTTATAGTTTAAAAAAGGTTTAAGAGTGCAAGTTTTTTCACCATTGTTATTTAACTAATTCAGTGCATGTATCATAGTATCATTCTGTTTTCATCTATAAAAGAGCTATGAGGCTGAAGACAAAAATAAATCAACTCTCCCAGTCCCCTTTGTGTAGTTGTTGCCACAGCAGGGGATGGCAAACTTTCAGCAGTATAGTGAATAAGCAGTACATCTCATTTCCTGTCACAATCACAACATATTAGCTGAGTTGGTGCTAGTAACACCAAGGTTTGTGGGTTCAATCTCCATGTGGATCATTCATTTAGGAGTTGGACTTGATGATTCTTGTTGGTCCCTTCCCACTCAGAATATTCTGTGAATCTGTGAATTTATGTTTGCATTTATTCTGAACATCATAGGAGTGCTTGGTAACAGTCTCCCAGTGTAGCAGTAACAGTGTAGTGTAACAGTGTAGCTCAAATTCTGCATGGTCACCAATGGCATTGAGCCAAATGCTTCACTTGGCTAGCAGAAAGATGGCCAGGAGCTCCTCACAGGACACTGGCAGGGATTCTCTGAAGAAAGGCAGACACCACACAGTCTCAGGCTTGGGCAGGATGGCCCAAGAGGTTGACAGTTCTAACATTAAACTTACTGACTGCATATTGAATTATTGAAATCACTTTTTTTATTTAAAGCTGTAATGCAGTGCAGGAAAAACTGGCTTTTGGATAAGGTGTGCTCGACTGCAGATGTTACCAAAAAGACCAAAGAGCCTGTATCTGTGTGCCTTCCATGCAAGGTAAGAAATAAACTTAAATTACTTGATCTCCTAGTTCAGGGACTCTATTAGGCAGTTAAATTGCATCAGGAGTTGCACTAAAGCATTGTGACCCTATCTATGAACAAAACCAAGAAGTTTAGGCATGGTGCTAGATTGCTGGCATTTGTCACTGTGACTTTAAATTTCATACCAGCTTGGTGTTCTAATCATTAAATATACTTCCTGAATTTAAATAACTGAAAAGTATGTCTGAACAAGGTCTGCATTGTAAAGCAGCAGCTCTAATCCAGCTGAGGTTCAGAAGTTTAAAGACTATTCCAGAAACCGTAAATTTCACATGAATGAACTTCTAGAATTTTTTGCAGCTCTCAGAGGTGAAGAATATGGTTAGTAGTTACCACATGCTGGCAACCTGAATCAAGTAATCTACACAACTGCAATTTGAAAAAAAATACAACCTAACCCCCACAAAAAAAAAAAAACCCAAACCTACCAACAAAACCCACAAAAACTAACAAACAAAAAAAGAAACCCATAAAAATTGTCTTTATCCTGTTTTTATTTCTTCCTTGACTGAAAGTTGACAATTCTAAATAAACAGATATAAGGAATTATGAATGTTTTATTTCTGGGTCATAATGCATATAAAGCTTTTGGGGAGATATACCAAGAGTAAAGGAACACCTTGAGAACACCTGTATTGTGAGTACCTTCCAACTCAGAACACTCAGTGATTCTGTGATTAGCATGAGGTACAATGAGGTATAATTAGGTAGGCAAAGTGTAAGAATTAAGAGATTTTTTAATCTGGATTTTCAAGCAGTCAGGTATTGCAAGAGCTGTAATACAGTTGCAGGCTGTCCCTGAATGGAAACAGTGTTCACTTTTTGACCGGCAACCCCTCTTTTAACATGTTTGTCATCACATGACAAACATTGTATTTTGTTCCTTTGAATCTGTATCTTCCCAAGCCTGAAGCATCTAGTTCAGGAAGGACAATTCAGGCCTGCTGTCAACATGAAATTTTAGTTCTACTTAGAAAAGCTGCCAACAAAGTTATGGCTCATTAGAGAAAGGTGAGTGACTCCCAGTGGCAAGAAGAGAAACACCATCGCTACTCATACTCCACCAGACCCCAATATACTAAGAGGAAAGCCACTCTTTTGGAAAGGAGTTGCTACTACAGCAGGTAAACCCCAAGGTGAAAGTTAGGGTGGGGGAATGGAGCAATGGCAAGGATGTAATTTGAATGCTGCTTTTTGAAATGGGGGGCATCAACTTTTCAAAGTTTTTTTTTCAGACAGCTGTCAGTCTAAGAGCAATACAGTTCATTCCTCCTGTGGAGATGAGAAAAGTATCAAGGAACCTTGTGAGCACAGTTTGGGCTTTTGTTGGTGTTTGCATTTAAAAAATTTCCTATCTCTACAGCCTCTGGTGTTAGCAAAAGAGCATGTTGATGAACCTGCAAGTACAGTCCAGACAGATGTTATGTACTAATATCTGCAGTTGTAGAGAGATGATGCACATTGTACTATTACTGCAGGCACCACACAGGACAGCCTGTGGGGCCCAGAGCAGAAGCATGGTTCAGGAACTGACTTCAGCAACGCCAGACATTTTTTTTAAAAGGCTATTCCATGGATCAAAGGGAAACTATGAATGTCTAGCTAATAAAAAAAAAAAAGCAGGAGGACAACTTACGTTTTGACTTTCAAGCTGAAAATCAAGAAGTCAGGTAAATGGGTTCTGACAGGAATAGCTTTACTCCTGGCAGTTTCATACTAAACTTTCAATAAAACGTGCTGCTTTCTCAATCTGCCTGATAGTAAAAGTAAAAGGAGACAAGCATTTTTCACAGTCAGCTGGAGCAAGAGATTTGTCTCACAAAACCACAATCCTTAATGTAACACTTATGTGGTCTATGTTGTTATTTCCTCATCAGTCAATGTTGTGCTCATGTGTTTCTCCACAGAATGATTATTGATCTCCAAGCACCATTACACCTGCTATGGGAAAGTAAATGGGAAACATCAGTATCAGGGTGTAGTTTGAATCACAAAATACTCCTCTTTAGATCAGTCTTTATTCTCTCTACATAAAATGAAATGTATATCTTACACAAATTTTAACATACTTTAACATGCAATACAAATATGTTGCATTTAAAAGAACTTGTTTGAAAGCCTGGTTGTACAAATGACAAAAATAGCTAAGAATAAGTAGAGAAATTAATCCTGAACTCTGATATAGACCAGTTACAACAGCTGGGCAGATGGTTCAGGCAGCAGGTGTACTACACAAAAACTGCTGGTGAGAAGTTTTGTTGTTTTGCTTTTTTTTTACTGGGATATTTATTTTTTTTAAACACTCTTCTATTTTCATGTTTTGGTGAATAATTGCACTTTGGAATAAAATTTAAAAAAAATCCTCCCACCAGTTGATTGTATCAGCTTTGGCTGGAATATAATGGCATTCAGGTGAAAGTACCTTTTCCTTCTTTGCAAGGACAAGTTCTATAAACTACAGGTGGTGGAACAGGTTCAGAAAGCCGAGCTGGAAAAATGGATCTTTATGGTTGAGCTGGTAGACAAAGGTGTTTTGTTTCTTTGAAGACCGGATGCTTTGAAGGTAGCTGTTAAACATCCTTTCTGCAAACTTGCACAATTATATAAATAAAAATATTGCTCATTTTGACCAAGCTCTCCATCATGTGGTTGTGTAGCTCTATTAAAAATTAACCACTCAAAGTTCAAGAGTGCCATTTCACTTAACATATAGGTCTGTGCACGTAGATTTCTCTACCAAAACATTTTCCTGAGATCTTTTGCATAAGACCATATCAATCAAAAAATTCCCAATACAGAAATGAATATGCTATACACTACAATTCTATTTTATATAAAACATAGTAATAAACTTCTGAAGTCAAATTGTTAACATATTGACCAGTTGCAGGCACGGCTTGAGTTCAGTGTTCTCAATTGTCATTTGCCAGTTGTTTTTGTAAACTAGAAGAAATGAGAAAACAATGTTAGTGCTTTTTAGGAAACTCAGCATCCCCATAAATTTCCATTGCTGAAAAAGATAACTTCCAAAACAGCACATCTATACACTTCAGCCAACCAACAGGGATTTCAAAATAGGCAAAAGTCTTTCAATTTTTTAATCAAATTAGTTGTTTACACAGACAATATACCTCACTTGAAATAAGCTGATTTCAGCCAAGGAAAGAACCTGAAATCCACAGAACTTCTCTTGTATAGGCACAGGATTTGCCCCAGAGCACAAGAAGTCAATTGTTATTGAAAGGGCTACAACAGTTTAAAAAGAAAAGACCAGAAGGCAGAACTCTTACCTTTCCAGGTACTCCTTGACATTGTTGTAGCCATAGAACTTGGCCAGGTGAATGAGCATGCCGGTGGCACAGCGCCCATCCCGCCGGCGGCAGTAGCTGCAGTTGCACACCCCACGACAAGGAGGACAGATCCAGGCCTGCAGGGGCGTGAATGTGGGAGGGAGGGTAAAAGCAAGTTATGAAAAATGTTATATTTGCCTTCCTGTTGCTCAGAGAAACATGAGTATGGCTTCCCCACCACAGATTGTTCAGGGCAAGGTTTTACAAGCCTCTGTCAGCCAGCCAGACAACCTTATTAACATTTTCCAAATTCTGCAGATTTAGAGAAATTATTAAGTGCTTGAATACTTCTTACTCTGAAACCTCAGGTTCTCTGATGTGCCCAATATTGATTTTCAAATGGACTGAAGTCATCTGTAATGCCTAACATTCATTTCATGTTATGCTGACTGTTGTCAACTCCCTAGAAAGAGATGGGTACCCACTGTGACAAGTTCCTTTGCCTCTCTCTGCTGGCTGGTACAGGACAATTCCTGAGACTGAATTAACCAGCTGGTACACAAAGTCAGGCATCTCCAAGCTGCTCAGTAACTGCACATAAAAGTACTAATAGAGCAGGCACTGCCACACTGGGCCAGCACACCAGAGCCATTAGTTAGTACTACAGATCTACTCTTGGCAATAAAATTTCAACACCATGTTACTACGAGCATGTTCTTGACATCAGAAATTACTAACAAAACTCTGTTCACTACACCTTCATTCCAGGCTCAAGAGTGATACTTACTGGATCAAGCAGAGCTGACTTCACATCTTCACCGTATCGATTTCGAAGACATGGTCCACAGAACTGCCCCCTTACTCCTCCACAGCCCTGGTTGCGACAGATTGTCTTTGTATCGGTTGTCTTCTGTCGACACTGATGGCAAGTACTACCCTAAAGGTGGAAGAGAAAAACATTTGTATGAAGGACATATTAAATGCCCATTGATGAGCTTTCCTAAGAATAATAAGCACAAACTTCAAACCAAAGTCAAATTAAACAATGAAAAGCAAGTTCTGTTACTATGATAAATCCTTTAACAATGCTAGGAATTTTACAGAGACAGTGCCAAATTTCAGTTGCACTGGATGTCTCAAATTACACAAGCCTCATAATCACAGTTCTGGTCCTTTCTTCTCTCTAGGAAAAGCCTAGAACTGTTGAGAAAATGATCTTGTGACTCATCCCTGCCAATACCATGAAGCATGACACACATGGTAAAATGATCTTTATGATAATCAATAATAGCCAAATCCAGTGGAAGCAAGGAAGGAGTTCTTTTAGAGAACACTGGACACTATACAACCTGTACAGAAATATAATTTCCAGGGGTACAAAGAACAGCAGGGATCACTAATATTTAATGGTACAACACAACATTTTTATTAGTGAGAGACAAAAAGGATGTCAGCTCTTAACAGTGGCAAGTAATAGCTACAACAAACTTAACTTAATAGCTCTGTGGCACAAAAACACTTTCAGTGGCAAAAAGCCAGTAGGGAGTATCAACCACTACAGCCAAGCCCAGAGAAGTCTGGCAAAGCTTTCAAAGCTGTATTTGACATAATAATGATGAGCTGAACTTCCCAGAGCCTCATGAAAGGACACCTTTCAGCAAACCAGTGAAATAGTGAGAGACTTTTCATTTCAAGCACACAAAAACACTGAAGAATAGGGCAACTACTTACTAGAACTTTGTCATAGATTTTGTCTCTAACAGTGATTGCAATGTTGTCCAAGTCCTCCTCAGTTATGTCTTCTACCGGACGATGAGACGAATATTTAGATGATCTCCTTCTTTTGCGCACTCCACAATCCCCCTGCTAAAAAAACTCATCTCAATACCTTTTGTCTGATGTCATGAAGCCTCTGTCACCACACTTGGTGACAAATTCCTTCACTTACAATGAGTATGCAGTCCACAGCTGGCAAACTACAGGCTCATGCACCACAGGAAGAACGGGGAATAGTTTCCAAATCATCCCTGCCTCTTTCTCTCCCTCTCCTCCATAATCTTTTCTCTACTATATTTTTTATTTGTTTTATTTAATTCCTTTCCATCATTACTACTTCTATTTGCACAAATCCCTGACATGTTTCACTGCTAACTATTCTTTGCATTCCCTGTCCTCCTCCACTGTAACTATACTCCATTTCTACTCTCTCAAAATTAGGAACTGTGACCATCTGCCTTCCCATGCTTTCATCCTTCAATCTCCTTGTATGTTCTCTAGTTGCTTTCTCCAATGACAATCTCTTAATGTCCTGCAAAAAAAACTCTACTGAAGTTTTAGGTTAGTCCTGCCATACCCAGCCCTTTCTTATTAACCTGTTATTTGGAAGAGTACTCTACTCAAGATTAAGTGATGTTTTTTCCCTTCTAAATATCACTCTCTTTGACGCCTATTAATGAATAAATCTTATCTGATTCTTAGCCTTCCCCATACCTGTCTGTGAAGACCTCATTTGTCCTTCACTCTAGATCAGCTCTGTTCTGTCCAAAATAGTCATTTACCAGCCCTCATTTGGTGCTACTCTTCTTCTAATAGCCAACTTCCCTCTATAATGCTTCAAGTCTGCCCAGCACTTGTTCCTACAAGCAGAACTGGGATCCAGCCTCTAAGGATTCAAACTTAAAGTGTGTTCCTCATGAGGGCTATACAGAAAATATAAGCAAGACAAATGACCACCATAAGCTAGAGAAGGAAAAAACCAGATTTTTAAAAATAGGAAAGACTAAAACCTGCAACTTTTCAATTACTAGCCTGTACAGTAGTGGTTTGTTCATGCAGATTCCCTGAATTCATTCTTGGTTCATCCATACAACTCACATCTTCCCTCTGCTATTTCCAGAGAAGAATTTTTGCCTTTTTTCACCTGAGTCTGGTAACAGAGAAGATCTGCTTTGCCACTTCTACCACACTGCCTTGCCCCTCCAAGGAATTCTACATTATGAGCTCTAGTAACTTTCAGATGAAGAATTAGTAAGAGACCATAAATTAACTGCCTTGTTATGTGAGAACAATGCTGGTCACAAATAGAGCCCACTTAACAGGTGGAAGATGAGACAGAAAGGCCTGGTGATAACTTCTTCTGTAGCTATTCCCAACCAAAGATTTTCAATAACTTTGTGTAGGACGTGTCTGGTCTAAGTGCTGGCCAACAATTCAAATGTTTCCTAGTTCCCGACTACTGGGGATATCAAAATCTGGCAAATACCACACTGAGTCTCTTCAAGAGGTTTTGTTGTCTGTAGTTACGGATGTGTTCTGCAAATTTGACAGCCGACACAGTAAATTTTTCCAAGGCAAATTTTTCTGGTGGACGAGCATTTCTGGTTGGGTTCATTCGACGTGCTATCTGGCCTTCAGAAAACGTCCTCCTTGGGGTTTTCCTCTGTTTCTACAAAGAGAATAAAATTCCAGTAACTGTCTTTTCAGTTATGTTTGTAGTGTTAAACACTAGAAACAACCTGAAAATGTCTGTACCACACTTGTACTATCATGAACTGATCTACTGTTTTCCTAGTCCTTACTTGTTAAGTCAACCCCACCAAATATACTCCCTACAAACTATACCTTTTGGCAACTTTTAAAACATCACACCTTCACATCAAATTCCATTCTAATTAACATCACAGAACTATACCAAAATTTAACACATGGCACATTGAGGTAGAAGCTACTTCTCATTGCTCTTTGGTAGCTAAATATTCAGATTTTCCCACAATCTGAATACACAAGCTGAATGCTAGTTAATTTTCTTTTTAACTGAAATTTTTTAACTGAAAGGGCATTGAGAAGCTGCTTCATTTAGTTCAAGATTCTTAATTTTGGAGATTCTTAGGAGGCACAAGTTACCCTCTTCACTGTCACACCTGTCAGTTACTGTGTGATTGAATCCATGCAACACAAGTCCTGCACGGACATCTACCAAAGGCATGGCCCTTCAAGGTTTCCTCAAATCTTTTCAGTTTATAATGTAAATGGAAAAATGCTACTTTACAGAAAAAGAAGGATTGACACTCCTCTGCTTAAAGCTGAGAAAAGTCAATTGAAATGACTAATGTATCATTTATGTTTGTGCTGAATGGTCCAACTTCATGAGCACAGTTCTACAGGGAAGTGCAGATTTTAGAATAAAAGCCTACAAGAGGAAATTAACAGGATCTAAACCCAAAGAAAAGCAACTTCTCTTCCTTATTCCCACATACACAGACATTTGTCTAAGACCTCAACAGTATTTCTGGAACAAAAACAATAATGTAACATCTCATCTTGGTCTTTGTATTTATTCACAAATTATCTTACAAAATTCCATTTCCTCACATAATCTCTGGCACTTCCCAACCAGTAGCAAATCTATACAAATGAAGTGACCAAACCCAAAGGAAATCAGAACAAACTTGCTGAAAGTTTCTGATGAAACATGTTAATCCTAAGTCTAACAAAAATTACTGTCCCCACCAGCCAGTACTGGGAACTTACTGAAGGAGTTGAGGCGGGCGTTTTCACTGGGAACAGGTCCGGTATGGAATTCAGTTCTGCCAGCAGTTGGGCAAGCTGGAATCAAATGATGTCACATTGAAAACTCACTGCAACTTGCAAAAAAAGCACCACCCACCATTCATTCTTCACATGCACTTGAATTATAGCTAAACCATGTGCAAGGGACCTTTATGGAAGCACTTAAATAAAGTGGGGCTCATAAAGGGGTTCATTTACTCTGCCATGAGCAAAACCTCTGCCAACAATACTAACCTCATAGCTCCCGCTAATTCTTACTGAGAATTAGAACTAGCCAGGTTTATACAGTATCATGTCAAAACAGGACCAAAGGAGTGCATTCCAACATGGTAATGATTGAAAATGAGAAATTAAGTTCATATGATAGGAGGGAAAAAAGAAAGGCAGGGTGCCAGAAGATAGTAAGATGTTCCCACAGTGAGCTTTTACTGACTGCAGATACCTCTGTGCTCTTTGCTGGGGAGCTCAGCGTCGCCTTAAGCAATACAGACACTGGGTACACACACACTCAGTACAAAGTCAGAGAGCAACTAAGCTCCACTGGCAGTTCCCGCAATGCATGCATGTTCTGATCAGGTACAGCATCAGAAGTACTTCAGCAGGATGATGATTTCTTGCACCATGTACAAGAGGTATATTTCCACAGAAGCAGTGGCTGACAGGTACAAAAAAAACCCCCACTGACCTGATCTGGAATTCCAGATGAGGCTAACTTCTGAAAAGCCAGTGGTAGTGGGGATGAGCCAAGCTGCTAGCTCTCTGAGATTGCCACAGCCATCAAGAGATTAAAAGCTGAATACAGTATTTCTCAGTAAATACTTCAGTGTGGCATTTATTAAGAGCTATTTAATGCCATTACAGTACTGCTCCTACGATGCCAGTGAATTTCACAGTGGTTGAACTGCAAGGAAGAGTAGAAGGTGAGAAGGACCAAGGAGCAGCAAGACCAACACAACAGCAGTGGGGACAGAGATTAGAAGTGCAGGTACAAAGCAGAAGCAAGATTTTACACAGGAGCTGCAGTCCCACACCAAGAGGTATTGCTTCAGTCCCAACACTGCCTGGAAGCTGCAACTTTCCCTGAAACATAGTAAAACTATAGGAGCTACTGAAGACTGAACATCAGTCTGGATTACATAGCAGCATGATAATTAAAGATTAAGCTTTAATTAAAGCTTAAAGAAAAGCTGGTGGCACGTTGGATAATAGAGGAAAAAACATTAGGAAATGATCAGCTGCTCTTTTCTGCACCTACACACACATACACACACATTCAACAGTTACATAGTAAAGCAATACTGTAAAAATCACATCCCACATAACTGAAAAATTACATTTTTCATCCTCAGCAGTTTTTAACTGGCTTTCCAATCAGTAACTGCAGCAGATCTGTCACACACAAACAAAAAGTAGAAACACTGTTGTGCAAATGACACCATAAACCACCTGAAAGGACAAGCTGGTTTCCTGACATGTTCTGAAGGCTGCAAAACTTGGTCATTTCTAACTTTGTTCACATCCACATTAAAAATTCTTAGTTCTACTCTGGTTTTAAACTTGACCAGGCCAGTCCCTACTTGAGGGTATTTTAGGGGCAAATGTCTGAGTCCTGAGGGTCCTCTAGCGTTTTCCCTGGTAGAAAAATTCACCATAAGATTTTTGCAAAGTTCCAGCACAGCACCAGCAGGGACCCTAAAATTCAAGTATGCTAAAGCTACATATTTGGATGTAAATGTCAGAAAACAAAATACTGCTCTTAAGTCTTACCATGGCTTTATTTTCTTTAATATTTATGGCTCTCTTAAGCAGTGCACTGGAACTTTCCTCCTGTGATTCTTTAATGTCTTCTTCAGACTCTGAAGCAGAGCCCTCTACTTTGTCTGATCCCTTGAGGCTTATTTCTTTTGAAAGAGGTGTGAGGGATTCATTGTCCTTTAGAGGTAAATCAGATAAAGCCTGTTCAGGCACTTTTTTCTCAGATGACTTCCTAGTTGGAAACTGTAAAGCAACACGAAGGCCAATGCTTCTTCTCTTGGGGGAAACCTTCTTCACCTCTTCCCCCTCTTCTTTCTCATTACCCAACACATTATCACGTTCTTCATCACTCAAGTCTGACTCCAGCACCTAGAGGCAGGAAAAATCCCATGTTACATTATTGGCTCTGACACAAGAGAGGTCATTTTGAAAACACTAGTTCTAGACAGCAGTCTTTGCACCCAAAGCCAACACCACAAATTCACCTAAATTATCATATTTTTACAAGTTCACAGTATGCAGCTTCTGCCTGTGCAGAGATCAACAAAACATCTACAGAGTAGTATTGTCTGGCATACAGTGGCTGTCTCCACAGGAACAATCTTGCCCAGTACAATCTACAAGCAGTGGAAGTAGTTCTCGTTTCTAATATGTGATGCCACATTAAACAAAGCATTCTTACTCTTTTAAGACAACATGGTTTAATTCAGCATGAAAAAAGAGCACCACAGTGTATCAAAAAAATTCCTACAAGAACATGAGGTTTCTACAGAAGACACAGAAAAAAAGCCAACATATACATTCACATGTAGGTGTGACTGCCTTTACCAGAACTTCTTTCTTGTTCACATGCACCTCGTTTGAAGCGAAGCCCTCAAACGCTTCTGTTTCAGAGTCAGTGTCCTCAGTGAAAATCCTCCGCAGCTCTTCAGTGAGGTATCTGGACTGAAACCGGAGCCCCTGCAAAAACACCACTCAGTAGCTGTGAGAGACAGTCGGATATAGAGTATTCACACTGCCACAATAAACAGGTTTTGAGGGTCAAGACAGTGCCAACTAAATGGCAGATTGTGAAAGCACTTGGCAGGCAAAGCCTGTCAAAAGAAACAAAACACAAGAAGACAACATTCAGAGTTTCAATACTGAGTTATTTTAACTTTGCAAGGTTTTTTTTCTTCATTTTGAGGACAGGGCTTTAACTGAGCTACCTCTTGTGGAGGAAGCTTTGTTCTTCACCTCTTCCCTTCTTCATTACTACCCAATAAAAATAAACTATCACTTTTCTTGTATGTAAATTATCATATTGTTTTATGTATTTCCTTCTGGATGAAAAAAACAGGCCTTGAGTAGAAGAAAATACAAATGAAAGATGGAGTGTGCTCCTCATGCTATTACACCATCACTGAACTGACCAATACCAAAACAAATGATCAGAGCTTTGAAAAGCCTGACTAATATCCCTCCACCTTTTAACTTCTCAACTCTCTGGGTTTTTTTGGTGCAATTTATCATTCACATGTGTTCTTGGGTAGACAGCTCCTTAATTTCAGTCTACAAATCAGGAAGTAAAAAGATCTCATTAAAACACTCTTCATGATATGAACATTACAGCCCAATTAAACACAAGACTTTTACTAAATAGAAATGTATTTCCATACTTCCAACAAGAACTAGTAGAAAACTATTTAGTCAACTTGTTCCTGTTAATCTCTTGAAAGACTTGATCCTGGTAGGAATATAATCCACGATCACATCACAACTACCTCTTGAAAGTCAGCAACATGTAAATTCATTACCTCAATTTTCCTCTGTTACTTCTTCTTCCCACACAAGAAACAAAAATTACCTTTAATACAATGCATTTGCTAAATATCTTTATTCTTCCTTTCAATTCCCTCCCTTTCCTGACTTTAATTACACACTTCTTTATTTTAAGATAATATCTGGTGAAAAAAAGATACAATAGATGAGTGGAAAAACTTAGAGGGGAATGGGAGGGGGGAACCACTGCATATGTTGTTTCTTTACATTTAAACATCTACAAATTATTATGGGTAATTGTAATGAGTTTTCTCTGAGGAAAATTACTTTATTCTTTTGTTGATAGCTGCAGTGCAGCTGCTTGAGAAAGGAACAAACACAATAGGGAAGTTACTTTAAAGTTAATTTGCACTTCTTGGAGGAAACTGAAGTTTTTTATGTATTCTGTGTTTTTATGAAATTCCACAATGAAGGTTGATGGAGGGAAATATGCTGTTTGTTAGCTAAAGTAACTAAAAATAACACACCTAGAGCTATGCTGCTCATCTATGAAGAACAGTCTACACCAGGTAAAATACACATCAGGGATATCTATTGTGGGAGAAATTTTGGGAACTCGCAGAAGCACAGAGATTATCAGAGCAGAACTGCAGAAAGCCCTGAGGAAAAGCAGGCAAACAAAGGTCACTACTTGTTAACTCATCATTTGCACCTCACCATCCAAGGGAAACGCTGATGCATTAACAGCCCATTTGCCACCCCAGCAGGGCGGCTACCTGTCCTCCTTTCTCAAGAACTGCTGATTTTTCCTGAATTTCCCATAATTTTGCCCTCTGCACCAAAATCTTTTTGTTTCCTGCACAAGTACCAATGGCCTTTTGCAGCAATAGTGGTGTATGGCATCATGAACACTGGATGATGCTCATCCTGATGCAGGGCCCTGATGTGCAAGGACGGCAGATTATGCTGCAATTGGATGGAACTCAGGGTATTTTTATTGTACCATTTAGTAGTAAGGAAATTAAATTCAATACTGATCAAGATTTAAAATAATTCTCATTCCAAGGGAAACACAGGAATGGCAAGGAAGGTTGCAGTGCCAGCTGTAAATCTGGAACAAGTCTCACTGGGATTCTCAGCAATGCATGCTAAACAGTACCTATCTCTTCCACAGCATATTTCATGAGAGGATTTTAAAATGCTTTGCAGAAGAGATCATTATCATAAACTCTGTTTCACAACTTGGGAAATCAAGGGAGAGAAAAGTACAGTCAGGTGCCTGCAGCCCCCAAGCAGGCAGAAGCCCCACACAAGGCTTCCCCTCCACCACCTCTCCCCACTGACCCTTCTTGATCCTCCCCACAAAAACACAAATGCAAGAGCACACTACCTCCTGATTTTCTGAAGTTGCTAGTACTGCTGTCTATCAACAAGATTACAAAACAATTTAGAGCCCTGTACATTTCATTATATTTTAGACACTATCTTTGTCCATAGCACAGACTGTGGCTCTACTCTCAAAAGGTTTCTGCACGCTCCTGGGGTCACTCGCCTGTAAAGGCTCAGAAGCAATACATACTTGTGTACAAGCCTTATTCCAAGGCTTGGTCAATACTAATCATCTTCCTTGTCATCAGCACCTCATAACCAGGTGCTGACCTGATGGACTAGGAAAATAAAAGGAAAAAAAAATTCAATTATCTTATTAATGAAACAGAGAGACCTTTGCAAGAGCACAAACGACAAAGGTATCTTATAGCACATTAGCCCATGGCTATCAAGCATGTAATTATAAGTTTCTAAAACACTAAAAACTAAATTTTTTGCAACCCAAGACAGCACACCAGTTCTATTCTTTTCTTGTGAATTCAGCTGGTATCTCCAGCTACCAAATCAGAGAATAAAAAACATCAAATCATTGTGCTGATCCAAGCCACTTCATCATCAAGAGATCAAAGAACCAGCAAATCACACTACTGCAGCAGAAGCTGATGATTTCTCTGTGTTACCACTATTAAAACAGAATTTTAGTGCAGAGACAGCACTGGAAGATTTCTGGAAGAAATGCTTTGAAGTCTACATATTCACAAATGCCCATCTAATATTATGTATTTGCAGTGTCTTATGCATCCAGCAACATCTTTCCAGGATGGTAATTCCCTTTTTCCTTTTTGCTACGCTTACCTACTTCACTTAAACTCACATTCCAATGAAACACTTTTTTTTATATTATGAGGTATTCAAAAGCAACCACTAAACCCAAAGAAGGATACTAAGTTTGTTTACATTTATGTTTAATATGGGGAATACAAATTACAGGTTAAGGTGCAAGTTATAATTCACATTGTTTTGACACAGGCTCAGAGTATTACTGCATCCCAAGAGCATAACTGGACTATGGCAATCTGTTCCTACCTCTTTTCCAGACTCTGGGGAATCAAAACTAGCACAGTTGTTCTCTGACAAGAAGCTCTGTTTGGAAGCATCATCTTCCTGGAATCCTGGAAAATCTTCACTGTCACTGGGGGCATTAAAAATGTTGGCCACATCCTTGGGTACCTGTTTCTGATTCAAAACAGACAGAGAATATGAGTCACACACATCAACTTAACAGGGAGAACTCAAATTGGCAGCAGTACAACTTATTTTTATATTCCTATGCAAGTACAAGTCTGTAGCACAAAATACGCTATGTATAAATTGTACGTTATTTAGCTTAAACTCCAGGAAAAATCTGTATAGACTGTTTTAATCCCTGAATACAGACTCAGCATCTGGGATTAGGGAGGGGATTCAATACATAGGGTGTTCAACTCCACAGGAGAGTACTTCAGAGACATAAAAATACATGTGTGCCCCACCTTTGCAAGCAGGAGCTCAGGATGTCCTTATCCATGGGGAAACCCACCATCCCTCCTGCTCTTTCAGAGCAATCATAGCTCAGAGGTGAGGAACACAACTTCAAATGAAACACAATGCTAAAGTACAAAGAAACCTGACCTTTAGATTCCACAATACCATTCTGGATTTTAGCAGACACTTAGCTAACTCCAAAAATAAGAAAAAATGCAACTTGTTCTCCTTGGTCACTACTGTCAAAGAGCTTCTTCTGCAATACTTGGTAAGAGGGTTAGCAAAGTGCTAACCAAGAACATTTCTCCTTTGCTAGAAGCCCATGATGTGGCCCATCAGGAGAGGAGGAAGCACAGCCAAGGGCAGGCAGCAGCCTTCCCGAGGTAACCAAGGTCACAGTTTCAGAGTTCAAGAAGTCTAGTCCCAGCCTAGGACACTCATACCACTACATCCAGCCATTCCACTGGGCCATATACTTCACAGCAAACACTTTGGACAAGGCTTTGCATGTACCAGGATAGTAACGAATCCAGCCATTCCACTGGGCCATATACTTCACAGCAAACACTTTGGACAAGGCTTTGCATGTACCAGGATAGTAAGGAAGCCTTCAGACAGTTCCCATGTGAGCTGCATTAGGATCTGGTGTGTGTAAGAAAGGAGTGAACAGATAAAGCCTCAAAAACCAAGGAAGAAGGCATTTTGCCAAGTTTCAGAACACATTTTTACACATCCCAATATCACCTGCAAAACCATTCTTCTAGTCACACAAATACTCAGGAGAAAAGTGCTGGCATTTCTCACCAGCATCCAGACACTCATCCCCTACATGCCCTGGACCACATATCCACCTCACGTACACCACTCTAACTTGAAACAAACCTCTCTGCTGTTTGCTAAAGCCACACTCTCATTAACTCTCAGGAACATGAGATCATTGACTGCATGGTCAGAGGACAGTTCCTCATCTCAAAATGCTGCTTTCAAGTCCTGAATATTCACCAGTACATCTGAGATGAGGTTCAGAACCAATAGCAGACTGCCCTTTTCCACTGTCACAGAAAACCAAAGTTACTCATACAGGGCTTATAAGGTTTGTTGGGGTTTTTTAAGTTTACTTGTGACAAGTGACCCAAAGGAGGCTCATTCTCCAAAAGCAACGTTGCTGTGAGCAGCAGTACCTTCACCATAGCATCACACCCTGAAATAAGCTACAGTAAAGGGTGAACATGAGCCAAACTTTACTCTTACTCTACTTTTATAAAGCTGATGTAGGCTGATGCAAAACCAACTTACTGTTGCTGGAGCAAGAGTAGAATTCACCTCTGAAAAACCAACCCTCCTGGGCCTATAATGGTATGATCCAAAGTACAGTTGCTAAAGTCATGCTGTCCACATCCAAACCCCTTTGGATATTCCCTCACTCCCACCTCCTGCAGTGAACATCCAGAATCCACTTCCATTGCTGTGACAGAATTCACTCAGTACAGAACAGTGCTAAAGTACTAAAGCTTAAGCATTATCCATTTTAATGGAAAAACATACAAGGAGCTGAGAGCATAGCTGCTATGAATAAATTGCTTCCAGGAGCCACTGCATTAGTTCTTGTGCTAATGTACAGCTGAATTAGCCACTGCTGTGATTACTATATGCCTGATTTCTTCTTCTTCATTTATTGCTTCTGCATCTGCACCAGAGGAGTCATTATGAGATTGTAATTACTGATTTTGAAAAACAACAAAAAATTTATTTTCCAGTAGTAGACTTAAATTTCTTGCATTCCCAAATTCTAATGTACCTGTACTGACTTAAATAACTTACTGCAGAGCTTCAAGGATTTTTAGTTTGTGACTTGCTCCCCATAGCCTGACTACAAAGAATCTCAACTTGGCCACTGATGAGTCCAGTTCTACCAGAAGTGCTTTCATTAATAACAGACAACACCTGACACGTACCAGGTGGTGGTGCATACTCCAGAAGTTTAAAAAGCCTCATGATGAATCTTGATTAGCAACACTACTTCTGCACCTGAAATTGCAAGCCAAGATTATTTCCAAGAAAAGTCCACTGACATAAAAGACAAGCTTGCAGCAAATATCTCTGTTGTGATGGGCTTATTCACTGTCATTTATCATGTACTCCTGGAAGCCACAGACATTTCCATCTTCAACTTCCAATTAAAATACATTCTGAAACTGATTTACAATCAGCATCAGAGCCTAGGATTTCAACTGTTGTCAACTAATTATTATACACCACGAAATAAAATACATATTTGTCTAAACAGAAATGTCAAAATGTTAATCTATTCAAAATACCTGCAAAACACAGGCACTCCAGGAGAGGACCTTTTTGCCACTAAACCCCTAAACAAGTCATGAAGGCAAGGATGTGATGAACGTTCCAAGCTTTCTCAGGGAAAATATTTCAACATGAATAGATCACAAAGGACTGATCAAATGCTGCAGATGTGAGAAATACTGTCTTTTACAGACCTGTTACAAAGGATAAATACCAAAAATCTAGTAGAAGTTGGAAATAATTCATAGCTGCTAAAAAAGTCAGTTTTATTTCTGGCAGGAAATTTTATATCTATTGAACTCATTTATTTTTGTACATAAAACACACTTAGTTTCTTAAAACCCCTACAAGGTACTATTCAAAATCATCAGCAAACATTCCCTGCTACAGATGGCACACAATCCAACAACTGCCAGAATAACAAATTCTATGTTTCTGCAAAAGTAGTCCAAAGCTCAAGACATCCACGTCTCTCAGGTTTTCCCTCTCTAAATTAGACAAAATACCACCAGTACACCCAGGAGTATATGTGTTGGGCCGCATGGAGATCCCATTCCCACAGAACCAGGGGCAAACAGCTTGCACGTGCCTGTGGAGACTGGCAGGTCTGTCACCAAGGGCAGAGGGTGACAGATGTTGCTACGGTTGTCAGAACTGTTTCAGTCACATGAGTGATTGAAAAGTAAAGCACACAAGGTCCCCAGCAGTCACAAGAACATTTTTCCAAGCACTATCCCCATGAATTCCACTTTGTTATGCAAGGAAAAAAAAGAAAAGCCTGAGGTGAGCTGTTTTGCTATCCACATCATGAAATATGAGAAAGAATTTTCATATTTCAATTGAAAAAGCAACTTTCCTGACACCAAAGCCAAAGAAAAGATGCATCTTGCCCTGTAGGCTGTGAGGAAAGAACACCTGCCTGCATGCAAACCCATGGATTTGGTGGGAAGCATGTTATTTCTACACCACCGACTACCACATTTAATTTTTTTGAGTTATTTGCACACATTATTTTCCCTGCCAATTGTCACACTAGCACATTCTTCTCCAACAGTGATGTATCAGGAGAACCTACAGCACAAGAAAGCAGGGCTAGATGTAATTCTCTATTTTTATTCCTCCCACAGGGGAAAAAATCAATTGGGCTGTGTTCCCTTAATTCAATTCAGCACAATGTATGGGCATTCCTACTCAAAGGACAGACAAGTTCAATCACACTCAAACTCAGTCAAACTGAAATAATCAAAGTTCAATCCCATGCACATACTCACATAAACCAAACCTGTGCAAAGTCACACCTTCACCACATGCTGGAAAGTCTCTTGACTTGTCCCAGGTTCAGCAGTCCAGGAGCCAGCCTCAGGCACACCACCCAAGGGTTACAGGCACTGCATTTGGCTGTACCTCAAAGGAACAACAGAACAGGGAAGCACTCCAAGGTTGACAATTGTGGGCAGCGCTACAAGAATAGAGGGGCCCAGCCAGAATGTCAATAGGTGCCAGACCAATAAGCCAGAACTATTCAGAAGTCAAGATCCTGGTTTTTCCACTGGAGTCATAAAGACAAACAGCACTCTAAAAGCTTAATTTTAACCATCATACAAATATGTGAAAGACATGGAAAGCATAGAGATGCAAAGCCCCACACTGCAGTGCAAAAGAATCACACAGTCTGGATGCAAGGTCAAAAAGACTGTCAACCACAAAATCAGCCTGAGACTCGTGGGCATCAACAAAATCTAGGAAGACAAGGAAGATAACCTCCAGAATTTCTCAACATCATTAAAGCACAAGAAGCTGAAATCCCCTGGACAGTGAAGTGCATTCCTGGCATAAGCGGCAGGAGATGGTAAGGCAAGTGAAGTGTTCTGAAAGAAGAAGGAACAACTGATAGCACAAGCAGTCATCGCCCACTTTTATCTTTGCAGGAATAATTTGATTCTAAAGTGAAGATGGATTATGCCTGAGCCTTTAATCTGTCAAAGCAACAACTCCTGGGACTTTGAGGGTGCCTTCAAACTTTTTGCTCCATGGAATTTTGGTAAATTCTGCTATTTTCAGAACAGCCGAATACGGTTTCTATATTGCCTTATCTAGGCTGATAATAAACTAATGCCCATAAAGCTACTTTATCCTAAGATAAGGAATTCCCAAGTATCATAATCACATGGCAAATCATTCAAAATGCCACCTTCCATAGGTAGTACCTTCCTGGAAACTATTTCCTACTCTTCAAAAATGCTGATAGTACTGTGAATATCAGCATGCCAGCGTATGAACACAATCCAAACACTGTCAACTGCTATTTCTTCCTTTGTACCATCTAATCTCTCACTAATCCAAACAGTTGTATCAACTATTTCTGAATTAATTCTGCATAATTCAAGAGCATCCTTTTCATCTATGGTAAT